GGGGTAGCCCATCATCGGTAATCAGGAGACTATTCCGTTCGAGTCTACAGGGGCAACCCAAAGTTAATCATGTCGCCAACAGAATCTCCACAGACTATCGACAAAGTGAACGAGAACACGAGAAACCTTCAATTGACCAATACCATTTCTGTGAATGCAAATAAAAAGTGACGTAATTTCGGGTAAACGAGTGTGGAGTTGCGCGTTCCAACCTTCGTTCTACCTTTCAACACTGTAACAATCGCCCATTTCCTCGTCTACTGCTTCTCTGCGCACTTCGCTGCCGCGTTAGCCATGTCCTTGGCAGCGTTTACTGCCACCGAGTTCTTGGCCGCGTCTACAGTCTCACAGAACGCTGGCTGGAATGTGCCCTGGAAAATGTCGTTGCAGATCTCCTCCACTGTCCTGATGCCTTTGGCCGCCGTCTCGGCTCCGCGACTGACCGAGAACTTCTCAAGCTTCTGACTCAGCAGAGTGCGCATTCAAGCGCATTGTCGACGTTTGTTGGCTCAGAGACAACGCGAGAAGCTGCGACGCGAGAAGCTGGAGATATCTTGTGTGATTCGAATCCAAACGCGGTGCCGACGTTGGTTTGCTCAGAGGAAGCGAGTGCAGCTGATACAGGAGAAGCGTGAGGTGGCTGCGGCTATCATCATTCAAAGACGGAGCAGGCGATGGCTCGAGCAGAACCAGGTTAATTCAGCTAAGCTAAGGCGCTTTCGCTTGAACGTGGCGTTCTGCAAGCTCCGTCGTGCATGTCTAGCGTCTCAGGCAGCAGCTGAAATGGAGGCCGAGCCTTCCCCGAGTGATGACTCGACGAAGAGCGGACCCAAGCGACGTGTTTCAAAGTCATTAGGCTTGCCAGTGACTCTGTCCAGCTCGGAGCAGGAAGACAGCTCTACCAGTGATGACTGGATGGAGCCCCCACTCCGCATTACCGCTCCGACTCACCGTCGCACCAACAGCAGACGCGCAAACAGTCGACGTAGCCGTACAAGCAGCAGCCACGTCGACGATCGCAATTCGCTTCTGGAGAACGAGATCTTGCGCTTACAACAGATGCTGGTAGAGCAACAGAACGGTAGATCTCGGCAGGATCAGCAGCGCCGATCGTCGGCTTTTTCTCGCCCGCCTCGGAGTGCCCCGCTGGACTTGAGTCAATCCGCCCGTGTAACGCGCTCACGCTCCGGTCGTCGTCGGTATTCAGAGGACGGTGCCTTATCCGAAGACGAGGACGGAGAGAATGACGACGAAGCATCGCTGTTGCCACCACGTCGTGCGCGGAGTGTCATGCCGGCACAGCAAGCTGATCACGTGTCCATGCTATCGCAGAAGATCGAAGAGCTGGACGCCAAGTGCAAGTTCCTGGAGCAACTCGTGGCTCGCAAGAATTACGAAGACGCCGCAAGAGAATCCTTCATGTACGGCCGAGGGTCGTTCGGTGGCAGGGAGCGCTTTCCCTCTGCGGACGGATCATTGTACGGCGACACCCCACCGAGCGAAACTGGATCGGATGTGGACTCAATCATCTTGAATATCCAGAGCCAGATGAACATGTTGCGCCAGTCTATCGCTGGGAAGGAGCAGGCCCTCCAGACGTCTCGCAAGTCGCACGCCTTGTCATTCTCATCCAGCACACGGCCGACACGCTCCTCGTCAGCTGCATCGACCACGTCGTTTACGAATCTGCCCTTGGGTGAGGCCCCACCGAGTCTCCCGTCGCTTCCGTTGTCCGAGTCGCAGCTTTCAGCCGGTGGCTCATCACATGGCAACAGTCGGCGCAGTGGCGGTAGTTCGCTTGGACTTCCTCCAACGCCAACGTCTTCAGTAGCGTCGTCGTTCTACCAGGGCCCACCCCGTTCTTCTCCTGCGAATTTTGGTGGCCGTGGAATGCCTCGAATCGTCAAGTGGGCTCGCTCCACCAACTGCTACGAGTGCGAGGAGCCGTTCAACTTGTTCGTGCGACGACACCATTGCCGTATGTGCGGTAACTCGTTCTGTCACGAGCACTCGAGTCGACGTGTGTCAGTCTTTGGCATCGGCTTCGACGACGAGCCTGTCCGCGTCTGTGACAACTGCTTTGCCGAGTACTATGCAGCGTCGCAGGAGCCGCAGTATCACCCTCAGTACGGCTTCAGCTCCGGTACACTGTCCACGTCTTCGCGGCTTGGTGGCTTGTAGTGAACACGTGTGATCTTCGTAAGAATTTACAAGTAGAATAGTCAATAGTTTTTGTGTGTGGAAGTTATTGCTTGAATTGATACTTTCAGAGGTTTTGCAGTGGACTATTACTGTTCGATTTAAAGCGATACACAAGCTTCCAAGACATGTACTGTCGGTACTCAATTACTACATGTCACCAGAAACTCATTGGCTCTATGCGTACTTGCCTCGTCATTCGGTTGTGGTAAAACAGGTCATAACCTTTTTGGAACGCCGGGAAGTTTAGCCCGACCCATTCGGGGGTCTTATTGGAAAAGATCCAAGCATTGTACTGTATGATTCTCCCAGCCCAACTGTCTGGAAACATTTTGATCCACTTTGGCACTTTGTTTGTTGTCAGCACTATATCCAGTCTCTCGATAGACGCCAGCCTCTTCAGAAACTCGGACTGATCACCAGAAGGAAGACGGAGGAATTTCGTTTCAAGCCCGGGCACATTCTCCAATAACTTTTTGGCAGATGAAAAGAAGCTGACCCTCTCCTCATGCATGACCTTCATTCGCATAATCTTTCTTTCGGAGGTGTCGGTCGCCATTTTCCTTGGTAGTACGTAATTGAGGAGCGTCTTCTAGAATATCAATCGCTCGCCTTGAGTCCGTGGCAATGGTGCTGACCACGAAGGTAGCGATAATGACGAGGACGACTAAGGTCACACGCATCGATCGCGGCTAACAGGTTGGTTGAGCTTCTGTTGGGGTCTTGACGCCGTTAAAGTTGGCTCAACTTAGTTGAGGGGAGTGAAGGGAAATCGGGAATGATTTTCTTTTACACTTCGGAGTTCGGACAGGACTCCTGTTGGGCTTGAACGCACACTGTCCGGCTTTGTTGATCTCTGGATCTGTTGACTGCACTGTATTAAAACATGTATTAATACATGGAGTATATATCAATTCTTCAAAATTTGAATCAAATTTTATATCTATTTAATAGATGTGTTGACAAGGTTGAGCAGGAGCGCAGACTTACTTACAAAAGCTAGAAGGATGCGGCAATTGCTCTGCGTTGAGTATTTTAGTCAGTCACCCCAAGAGCTGTGGCTGTTTCACGGTGGTTACGAGCCTCGTGATCAGACAGTATGTTTCTTTAAAGTGAATTATTTATAGAGCTGCCATGGCATCAGTCATTTTTATTAGGACATGTATAAACGTAGTTTATACATTATGTAATACACAAGTAGCTCAGCTTAATGATGATATGATGTCGTGTGATTTTCGTGATTTGAAGTTATTAATAGCAGTACAGTACTCTAGTAATAAGAGTACTTCTCTTAGCTAGTATTAAATTACATGTACGGAATTCTGGTTAATTGTTGGTAAGAAAAAGGCTTTCTTTCAAATCCTTCCGCAAATCTCGTTTCCTCGGCGTGACTCGCCACTCTTCTACATACATGTGTGACTGAGTCAGTCACTAAGCCTGGCTCAGTGGGCCATGATCACTAAGCAAATGTACATGTACCGAGCTGTACCTATAGATGAATCTGTCTGAAACACCCAAAGGACTCTTTTCCGTATTTGAGATCTCATAAAGATTTCTTTCGAGCTAGTTTGATAACTTACATGCTCGATTATACTTCGAAGGACAGTAGAGAGCTTTCGCAGCTGTCTGAATCCGATCCCGAGATATTATTGTATGGCAATCACTTTTATTAGTACATGTAGCGAGCCCACGAATTTTGAAACCGGTACATGTGCGGCTGGTTTTGAAATCTTGATATTTGAGCCTGGTAATCATTTGTGTCGAGCATCCCGACGAGTGTGCTGTACACTGTACACCGTACATGTACAGTGTGATTAACGGCAGCCATATTCTTGAAGCGAATGCTGCCTATCACTAAACATAAAAAATACCTAACCAAGTGACCGATGAAAGGTCGACTTATAGTGGACACTTAATTAAATTGTGCTCGCTTTCGCCTCAAAGATCTAGCCATTGCCGCGCGAAGAAAGATACTAGCTATAATGCTGCTTGTGCGGCTTGGATAATAACTTTCTAGCAGGCTACAATAGAATATCATAGCATACCCGTTTAGTAAGGTAATTTGTCTACATCTTTGGTGGATGGGTCAACCTACATGCAAAATATTATTTGTGCAAAGGAAAAGTTTTTATCTGACAGTTTTTGCTGAGCACTCAATCAATACAAAACTGTTATGACAGGATATACGAAATCGCTGGATTATCACGTCTATTGGTATCGGCTCTGAATAAAATCCAGGGAATATCATCACTTATCCGACCTCTCTTAACCCTTTAGGACCTAAGCCTTAGAGTCCCTCAGGGGGCCTCTTACGTAAGCATACGATTGGCTATATATACATTGATAGAACGTTTGCCAGTCCCTTCTGTCGTGCCCTGTCTCTTTATTTTCTAAGAGTCCCAGTTCATTGGATTGTCGTACCCAAAATAGTGGGTTTTCTTATCAAAAATTGCATAACTTGTCATTTTAGCTATCAAAAACAGCAATTTTACTTTTATAAAGAAGCAAAGTAATGTACTACGTACAGTGGTATAACTGAATATCATATGTAACAGTGATGTATCCCAGAGGAATGTTGCTCGTGGCGGCCAAGGGTAACATCACTGTAAATTACGACTAACCGAAGTATTTAATCCGCGTGAATGTTGTTCGAACAGACTCCAGCTTTCACGCAGATGATGCGGCTGCGGGGTAGGGGGAAAATGACAACATGTGAGTGGATACACTAAAATTGTGACAGAAAGTTAAAGGTGTGCCAAAACGTGAGCAAAGTGGGGTCGGTATCGCCGGTAGGTGTACCAAGTGAAACCCGCGTCAGTAAGTGAGGAATGTTAGAGAACAAACATAAGAATGTGTGTCCAATCGATTGAATGGCTGAAACAAGGTGGGCCGGACCCAAACCCCAAAACCCGTTGTATACTAATGATCGCCATGCGTATGAGGACCCAAATCGTACACTCTTAAGTCCCAAAACCACTTGTTACGACTGAGGGACGCAAAATGGCGGAGGACATCGACGACATCGCTGATGGATTGGAAAACGGCGATGAGGAAAACACTATTCAAGTCGGAATGACTTTTGATACTGCTTCACATGCTCTTCATGCTGTTCAAGACTATGCTTTATCTCATGGGAGGTCTGTATGAGTAACGAACCGGAGTGGAAACCATCGTTTTATCAGCTGTTCATCAAGGAACTGCCCGTTTTCCGTGCGTGTCTATAGTGCCAAACGCAGGGGCAATTCCTTTGGTACTTGGTGGTTTTCTTCAGTGAACTTGGAGCACGAGAACTGTCTATCAGCTGCCAATCCCACTGGTCGCCAGATTGCAGAGCTACCAACGTTCAGCAGCGCAGTTGCCGCTGATGGCACCGTTTCAGCTACAGCATTAACCGCTCAGGTCCAGTCAAGAGACCGGATTTCACTGGTGAAGAAGCGCAGAACGCTTTACAGAGCGCGGCAACAACTCAACGATGTCACTAGCGATCAGCTGACACTTCTGTTGACACGGATGTAATATCGGAAGTGGGTGAAATGTGTGATAAATCAGCGACAGCGGGGGATACATCAATAGTAACAGAACCAGATCCTTCTGTATCCATTCTCCTCGAGGCCATCCAAACAGGTGCTTCGTATAAGTATGTACCAGCGCTACGTGCCCTATCGATTTCCCGCAACAAAAGCTTAAAATTAGCTGTACACCAGCGAAAAACTAAACTCCCGACGCTCACGTGTAAAATTTTGACTGTGTTGCCGATTCAAACACTAAAATCGTGTAGCGATAAAGTCGCTGCATTCCAGAATCGGTGGTTTAGTGACCACGACAAACAGATCGCCCAGAATGATATTACTGTGACAGCTGGAAAATGGGTATATGACATATGTAGTCTGAAAGCGATGAGGTCGTGGCATTCTGCAATCTCTAATTATAATGGGATCGATTGTGCTATTAGATGGGTGAACAAACAGGTAGATTGCATTGGGAGCCAGTCGACAAAGTTTGGAGTCAAGGGGTTTTGGATCCGTCAGCAGTAAAACAGTACCTGAAAGAAGTTGACGTACTCAGTAACTACTATTGGGCGACTTCTCTATGTGGAAAAGCGCTCATTGAGCCGTGTATCCATCTCGAGTAAAAGTCGGCTTCGAATAACATACTATAAGGAGACGTACCTGTCTTTCTGCGTAAGTATTCCAGAATACGCTTCTTTTTCGCACCCGCCATTTGGAGCTCGTCCGCGAAGCTAATCACGTCTGCATCGTCAGCGCGGCGGTTGGCCGGGTGGTTTTCGAACGACGCCGCACCCACCCATGGCTGTGCAAATTTTTTTGCTGAGTCACCTTCACTCGGAACCCATATTAGCCATCCAGACCACCGTGGCAGAAAGTTGTGCTGCGCATTTTGTGGACTTCCCGAAGTAGTTTTTGCGCTTGCCTGTAGCGCGGCTTGGACGCCTCCAACCATGTGTGCAACAGAACCTGCGGTAATACGTTTCAAAAGACAGCGGGAGTTGTGTTATAGGCGTCAGTGTCCCTTGTTTGTTCAGCTCATCGTTGCGTGAAGCGACACTTGTCGATGTTCGTTTGCGGAAAACTTGATGAGTAGCGTTTTGATACTCAGTCAAAGCGGCGAAAAAGCTGTCCCAGCTTGTGTAGTAGAGCTGTACCATACATGGCGCGCACACAGAAGCTGTAGTAGGGACG